TATAGTATATATATATATAGTATATATATATATAACTACTAATTATATATATATAGAATATATATATATTTGTTTCGTACACACATATATATATATCTGTATGTCTATATANATATATATATATATATATATATTATATATATATATATATATATATATATGTATAAACGTATATATACGTGTATATACATAAATATATATATATATATATATGGTTCATATATATATCTATATATATATGTACATATACATATACATATATATGCGTTTAAGTATATTTGTATGTATGTATAGATATATATACATTTACATATACATACATATGCATGCAAAAACATATATACAGCAATTAATACATATATACAGACACACATACATGTTTACATACATACATACAATATATATATATATATATATATAGGTACAAATGTATATGTATGTATGTATGTATATTAGTATTTGTATATGTAATATATATATGTAAATAAATATATTTATATCTATATTTGCATAGAATATGCACACACATATATATATATTTATATATTTATGTATGTATGTACATAAGTATACACATACATATACATAATTATGTATTGCATATGTGAAAGTATACGAATATATAGATGTATATGCTTGTTTTTATATATATGAGCACATGCACGTGCAAAACGATAAAAAATCTACAATTTAATGGATAATCTATACCTTTATGAAATAAATATGTTTGTATATTGGACAATGATGAGCTCTGTATATATTCGCATACAAACTACTATAAAGGTATCCACGCCTCCATGACTTTATATACAACATATGTTACAATATACTTTTAACCTTCCTAAAATATACTCCCCAAGCGGGGCCCCAACATAAGGACAAATACATATATCACATTATATTCTCTGCACGAAACATTTGCATATTTTTATTGTTAGAGTAATCTTAAGTAGGTACACACACACACACATTGAATATATATATATTCATGCTTATGTAAATACAAATGTAAATATATATATATATACATACACTTATCGATATGCGGGTAAACTTTCAGGGTACCTTCTAATAATAAAATAAACTCCTTTATGTTTCTGATTAGTTTAGGGCTATATGTACTAATAAACATACATTTATGGAAGTACTGCAATAATCAGTACTTGTATCGATGTGTATTGATCTCCCCTTCGAAGCTCACCAAGAGAACCCCAAATATTCGTCGATCTTGAACCACTCACAACCTTCACATGAAGCACATCAAACGATTAACTATATGAAGCACTTCCGTTCGTCATTACAAGTTTATTTTTAAGCCACACGCTCGGTTTATCAGTTCGCGACTACCGTCTACAGTTGCTCAGCAACTTGACTTGTCCACAGGCACGGCATTGAAGAGTTATATTAATTTTACCAATTATTTCCTGTTAATAGAAAACACGGAAACCAAGCATACGTTAAGATAGTGTGAAAATATATACATATACATATACACATATACATATACATATATACATATACATATACATATATACATATACATATACATATACACATATACATTTACAAATACACATACATATACATATATACATATACACATACATATATACATATATACATATACATAAATTGAAACTAGTGGGATTTTTTAAATGGTGACTGGGTTAAATTTTCCAGAGGGGCGAGAGGGCTAAAACTATAAAATGTGGTTTTAGTATGAGATGAGTAAAACCAAAGTGGTTTTAGTATGATATACGCGCAATAATCTAGATGGCGGTTTTAGTATGAGGAATGGGTGAAACAGGATAACATGGTTTTGGAAAAACTTTAGAAGGTGGTTTTAGGGTGAGATGAGTTAAACTTTAGAAGATGGTTTTTGGCTGAGATGGGTAAAACTTTAGATGGTGGTTTTTAAGGTGAGATATGGGTTTAAACATTAGGTGGTTTTAGAATGAGTTGGGTAAAACTTTAGATGGTGGTTTCCGGGTGAAACTTCGGAATGTGGTTTCAGGGCGGGATATGGGTAAAACTTCAGAAGGTGGTATCAGGGTGAGATATGTGTAAAACTTTAAAAGGGTTTCAGGGTAAAATATGGGTAAAACTTCAGAAGGTTTTTAGAGTGACATTCGGGTAAAACTATAAAAACTGCTTTTAGGGTGGGATATGGGTAAAACTTTTGAAGGGTTTTAGGTTGGGATATGGGTAAAACTTTAGAAAGAGGTTTCAGGCTGTGATATGGGTAAAACTTTAGAAGGTGGTTGGATATAGGTAAAACTTCCAAGCATATTATAAACAGATTCGAACATGCTTCACAATCACGAGCAGCTTATCGTTTGCCAAACAAATAATAGAATGATGCAGTACATGCACATTGAACAACAAACATGCGTTGATAAAAACAATTACATCACCGTAAAGTATAGTGCTCACAGACAGAGAAAGCCATAAGCTATGTACAACTTGGGCGAAGTATCAAAGACAACGGAAGCGAGAACGCAAATATGTACATATACATGTGTACATAATATAGGTGCACACACACAATTATACAGCTTTTTTACCCATGCATCTGCATTTCCACGGATACCACTTATACTCACCATAGTGCGGCGGCAGGTCAAACCAAGTGCACAGTGGGACAAGTATAGTAAAACTCAGTAAAAATTTATGGGCCGGATACTTCTAGTTAAGTAGTTCCATTAGTTTACCGCTGCAAGGCAACCAGGGAACAGCACGACCCCTATATATGGTTACGCCTTGATCAGACCATAGCACGTGTTGGTTAGTATCCACCTGCGGTGGTTACTTACTTCTCAGCCTTAGCCGCCTTCTTCGCTTTTTGCTCGGCCTGTTGTTAGAGACAAGGAATGAACTGTATGAGCTTGGTATAGAGATTCAAAGGGTAAAGGAACGCCATGGGATCTAAACGTGATAGTTTAGTATTTTTTTAACGAGAAGCCGCAAATGGGTAGAAAACGATACAAACAGATTCCTTGTCGTGATAGAAGAGATAGAGACTGTTCAAGCTTACGCTTTCAGGGATAAATTTTTTACTGTAGTCACTACATCTCGGTATGGTGTACAGGTAGTATTTCTCTAAACAAACCCACGAGTATAAAGAGAACACTACAACCACAAAGAATTAAAAAAACCGCACGACACGCCTACGGACCACCCTCGGTCACAGCACAAGTAAAAACTAGGGGAAGATGGAGTAGCATGCATACGTCAAATACTGATCCCTTAACAGGCCATAACAGTCATGAACAAATATCACAGCATGCTCCGCCATGATTGTGCATAGACACAGCAGACGACCTTGCGACAGATATTCGATTAGGGGTAGTATAACACGAGCTTGATAACATGATATTCCAATCATACAGACTTTACCAAAAGGGGTGCAAACAAACAAAAAAGGGTAGATTACTACGAATCAATCTAGAACATATAAACAAATACTAAACCACAATGCTTACACAACCCGTGTCATAGTGTAGAGTAGAGTGCTTATGTATCTCCCAACGAACCACCCAGATAGCAGGCCACTGCAGACCCCCCGGTCATGCAATATATAGGCGTATAACATACCATATAGCACAACGCACGAATGTAATATACATAAAACCCTACCCTACCACACCCTCACACACGCACCGTGTGTAATGTATAAATGATGCGATTTATTGTCACCCCGACTGCAACGAAACCCTGGAAAAGCGTGATATAATAGAAACATGAAGCAGGTAATACACCATTTTGTGAAACAATGAGTACATGCAGCACAACGTGCATGTGATATACCTTCTTCTGTGATGCACTTTTACCGGCGTTTTCTTGTTGTTTGGTCATCTTAGGGGCCTTACCTGCGGCCAAAGACTCCTTTTTCTTCCTAGAAAATGGATAGATTTATAAAGGAAATTAGCTCACATTTCTCAGTATATTCACAAGAGCCTAAAACACGTTAACCATGGCGTCTAGATTCGTAAACACCAGCTAGATGACATACAGACACATCTAAATTCGAACACAGCCACATAGAAATGACTGCAGCGCACATCACTTACTCGTTGTTGGACTTTCCCATCTTGACTATATATGAACAGTACGTGTAAACAGCAGATATTGAACCCGACGCCCTGTCGGTCCTTGCTTATATTAAAACAAGCTAGAAGTAAATTTGAAATACTTAATTTTAGTTGTGATTAAACTGGTTCACAACAGGTCTGAAACTCTGATGCTGATGTGATCAGACGCCGGCGCACAGGCACAAGCCGCAAGCGCTCAGCTGCACATGTTGTGACAAAAAGATAAAAACACCCAGTATATATAAATAGATTGCATTATCTATTTATAGCTTGATATTTTTGACCAATGGGATTGTTCTCTGCCATTCAGTACATCGATAAACAGCTAAGCACCGCAGCCGGCTACAAACTTTTCCACCAATCACACTGCGCAAAATAGTATGAAAACACGTTTTAACCACTTTTGCCACGGCTTTCGCAGTCTCGCTTAGTTCGGCCTACAGATGACAGCTGTGTGGTGTCATGATCCACCAGAGGACCAGAGCTCGCGCATAGAACTGTGTTTGTGTGTTCTATATGTGCACGCACTTGTGTGTTTCATGTAGGTGTTAAGTATGCATGCGTGTACACTGTATGTACAGTTAAATGAATGTGCAAGGAAGTAGCATTCCTGATTGAAGTTTCCTGCACAAAAACTTTACTTAGCTTACTCACGGGTGGATAGTCTATGTGTAGTAGTACATAAGTCGTATATATATAGTATCAGCCTGTCGAGTGTATACACTCGTAGCCAATATGCCATCTGCACCCGCCAACAGCAATGGTGAAAGGCAACCTCTCCTTTCACCGTCCCACAGCAACAAAAACACAAGCACACAAGTCCTATCTCCCAATAAAGAGATTACCGCTGAAAGAAGAGATTCCGATCGATCCATACTGTTCTCGCCCAGTTTAAACGAAGCGGAACGAGAAGCCTTAATCGAACAAAAGGAATACGAACGAAGGCGGCGCGATGAACAGAGTCGCAGACGATCAAGCAATGTTGTGGATGTCTCTGAAGCTACTGAAAGTGTGAAAGAAGCGCAAGAGAGCAGCAATGCATTTGTTATCAGCTTTGTTCTGATGGTGGTCGTAGGTTTGGGAAATAAGATCTTCAACAAACTGGTGTGTAAAGTGTTGAGTTCAATCTGGCTTGCTTGGACAGGTTTTATATTATATTGACTTGTGCTGTGAGGAAGATATTGGATACGTTGTGAGAGATTATCTCGTTGTAAGAGATTTGAGGGATACATTAAAGTCCACACC